GTGAGCACATGTTTGTGAGAGGGTATGGCTGTGTGTGGCGATGAGACTGTCTAAATGAGAGGACACATCTTACTTCTCCAATCCCTGCTGAGGTTCTATCGTGGCACTTGGTCTGCTGGGCCTTAAGGGTCTGCTCTCTTATCATCTGGGGCCACAAGCTTATGAACCATGGCTCAGCCACAAAAGAAAGGAAAAAGGAAAATAAGAGACTCAGTGATGGATACAAGTATGAGTAGGTGGATGGGTGGATGAATGGATAGATGGGTATAAAAGGGGATGAATGATGAATGAGTGATTGATGGATAAGTGGATGGGTGGACACAGAATAAATGGAGGGATAGGAGAGCATATCTATGTATGTTTGGATGAATGAACGGATGGGTAGATGAATGGATACATCAATGGGTGAATGGCCAGTTGACTATATGGAAAAACAGATGATAAATTGATGGCAGAAAGTAGTGATAAAATACAATATATACGATTGGCTTATGAAAGGAATTAAAATGGATGTATAGTATGTGACTTTGAGTAGGTTACTTAACTCTCTGCACCTCAGTTTTCTCATTAAAATAATATACTGCCTACCCCATTGGGGTTTTATGAAGGCTATGTAATAAAGAAAAGCACTTAAAAAGTGTCTGGCACATATTCATCATAAATTTTAGCTAGTGGTGGTGGTGATGATGGTGGTAGTGGTGATGGTAGTGGTGGTGATGATGGTGATGGTGGTAGTGGTGGTGGTTGTAGTTTTAGTAGAAGTAGCAGTATTAGGCATATGGATAGATGTTTGGCCATATGAATGGATAAATGGAATGTTGGATGTATATATAAATAGACATAGACATGGATAGATGGATAAGTGGATAGATGGAAGGATAGATAGATAAGTACAGGCATAATATTTAACCATATATATGACACAAATGTTAGCCTATGAAATGGGAACTGTTTTGGACCTGTGCATATCAAGCTAATAATTAGCCCTGGATGTATGAATGAGCAGATATACCAAGAGATGGATGAATGGATGAATGAATTAGTAAATGGACAAATGAACTGGAAATAAATGGGAGATAAATGGAGGCTAGATAAGTGGGATAGATGGAGGATAAACAGATGAAATGTGAACAGATAAATAACTGGACAGATGAATAGAAGGTTATTGGGTGAGTTAGACATATAGATGGATATGAATGATAAATGGACTTTTAGATGGAGAGGTGGGCAAATACAGAAAGAGGGACAAATGGGGAGATAGTGAGTGAATGCACATATGGCTGATGCTGGGTAAACTATTGAAGAGAGAGGGTAATGGCCAGACACAGCTGAGTCAGGACTTCTGCACTCACCGTTCTCTCTTTTGCCCACCAACGGCAAAGTCTCTTTTCAAACAAGAAAAGGCCACTTCCTTCCCTGGAGGCTGTCTTTGACTCTCACATATAATACACCAGCCCCTTCCAGATCTCCTTGTCCTCAGACCCTGAACCACATTTTCTATGGCATTTACCATCATCTGATCGACTCCTGTAAATACCTACTTTTTTTGTTCCCACAAAAAATGCCAGCCTTGTGAGAGAACGGGGACTTAGTTAATGCTGAATTCCCAGCACCTGAACATGAACAGAGTTTAGTAGGTTTATTGAAAGATATATGGATAGATGGGCAGTAATATGGAGATAGATGGGTGAGATATGGATTAGTAGATGGATGGATAAAAACAATAGTAACATTTATTCAAGGTTTACTGTGTTTCAGCAACTGCTTTAAGTATTAGCTCTTTTGGGTGGCTTAATGGGTAAGATGATGGGCATATATGTATAAGAAGGACATACTTATATGTATTTATGCACAGTTGAGTGTATGACTTGCTAGCTGGAAAGAGGGGTGGACATATGGGTGGCTGAACAGACAGATATATGAATGGATGTAGGAATGGGATGGGTAAATACCAAAATATTTGGAGAGTTGAATAAAAGTAAGGATAGAAGAATACATGAAGAGACAGGAGGTATTTGAAGAGATAGAAAGATGTATTTAATAAAAAACAGATAATTCACTGGTTGGGTAGCTGGGCAAGTAGATACACAAAATGATGGATGAACATATAAATAAAATTGTCATAGATTGAGTGGTTATTATATTCCAAATAGACAGATGGCTAGCTGAATGCTTCTTCTAAGTGTTTTCTATGTATTAAGACATTTAGAGAGATGGTCGGATGTATGTATGAATGCATGTATGTGTATATGTATGTGTATATGAATGAATGGATAGTTGGATAGATAGATACTTGCTCAATAAAGACTTGTAAAGGGAGATGGATGAACATAGGTACATATGTATTGGTTGACACATGAATGAATAAATTGATGAAATGATATATTGTTTTTATATGAATAATTGTGTGTCTAGATAAAGTAGGAAATTGATGGATTGATAAATGATATATGAAAAGACAGATAGCTATAGATAGATGATGGGTGAATGGATGGATGATAGATGGATAGATAGATAAATGAATGGATAGATGGATTAATAGGTGGATAAATGATTGTTGAAGGATAAATGATGGGTGGAGGATAGATGAGAGAATTAATGAATAGATGTATAAATGGATGGACAGATGATGACGGGAGGATAGACGGATGAATAAATGGATTGATAATGGATGGACAGGTAGGTAGGTGGATAGATAAATGGATACATGGATGATGGATGAGTGGATGAATGGGTGGACAGACAAATGGATAGATGATGGATGAAGAATGAATAAAGAATGGATGGGAGGATAAGTGAATGAATGAATAATAAAAGGGGGATGGATGGAGGGGCGATGGATGAGTGAATGCATGGGAGGATGAGTTGATGGATGAGTAGATAGATAGATGGATGAATGAATGGATGGATAAATAGGTGGAAGGATGGAAGATGGAGGGGAAGATAATAAAGGATGGAAGATGGAGGGGAAGATAATAAATAATAAATAGATAGAAGGGTAGATGGAAGTGTATGGATGATGGATGGATGCATGGATGGGTGAACATGGGTATGTATGTATTAATGGATGCTTGAATAGATTGATAGAAGGGTATATTGTGTTTATATGAATAATTGAATAGACATGGTAATGGTGGTGGTGTGGTGACTTTGAGCAATTGGTGGATTGATAAATGATATATGGAAAGACAGATAGCTATAGAGGATGGATAAATGGATGGAGGATAGATGATGGATAGAGGATGGATGGGAGAATAAAGGGATAATGAATGAAAGGAAGGGTGGATGGATGATGGATGAATGATAGCTAGAGGATGGATGGGAGGATGAGTGGATTGATGGATGGACAAATAGTGGAGTTGAGGTCAAATCCTTGACCTTATTGTCCCTGTTAGGACACTCCCTGGCCGTAGAATGACCAGTCATGGCCAGGTCAGGTACAGTTCTGTCCTCAAGAATCTCCCTCACCAATATGTCTGATAGCTCTGTGACTCCATCTTAACTTCTCAATGTCAGGGGTTTCCCATAATCCCAAGGCAGCCTGCTCCCCTGTGAGAATATTTTTCCTGCTAAGAACCAAAATATGCCTTTTGGCAAATTCCATTCCTGGCAGCGACTGTGATTCCAGAACCAAGAGCAAGAGGCAAGGGGGTGGTGGGCCGGTGGAGATGGACATGAAGCCGAGTCCCCACCCTGTGACCTGCTGGGTCCTGGCCCTGCGGCCTTCCTTCTCCTCGTGCGCCCAAGTCCCCAGGTCTGTGGGTCTCCACACTCCGGCGGCTGGATGCAGGGCCAGCCGTGGTCATACGGTCTCCACGGCACTCCCCACATGCTTAGCTCCTCCTGGGCTATGCGGGGTGAGGGAAGATGCTTGGGCTCCCCTCCAGGACGGCCACGAGACCCAGCCTGCGTGTGGGCGCGGGGAGAGCTGGGGTACTTCCCGGATCCCACGGAGTCCCCCCAGCAGCCGCCACCTGAGTCACTGAGGACGGAGCGATGGGCCCGTGTGGAATGTTTCCGGCTGCTGCCGCCACCTAGACACAACTGCCTTCATGCCATGACCCGTTCGCCTTTCTTCCCGCTCGCCAGGGTGGCCATTCCCTTGCCCTCTGCCTGCTCACATATCCCCTCGAGTGGCTTTGGGCCTGGAGGGGCAGGCCTTGGGCACAGGATGGCTCTCTGGGCCATGCCTTGGTGGCCAACAGTCCACAGACCCAGCCTGTGGTCTGGCTCTGCCGGGCCCCGGCTCTGAGGCTGTGGTATCCAGTCTGAGCCTCTGTTTCCCCATCTGAGCCCGGGCAGGCGCAGAGGTGGCCACCTCTGGGCCCTCGGGGGAGCCCCGCGGGGGTGGGAGGCTGCTCCCTTGGAGCCTCCCTTGCGTGGGTCCAGTCCCCGCCTCGTCCGGCCACTAGCCTCCAGTGAGTCACGGTGACTCAGCCCAACCAGACGAACCGTGGGCTGGGCTGCTTCTCCGGGGCCTTGGCCAAAGAGCCAGGGGCCACGGCCGGCTGGCCAGGGCACCGCGCTGACCTTGTGCCCAGTGGCCACTTCTCAGGAGCGTGGACACCTACCCAGAGAGGCTGGCTGGTGGTGGCCCCTAGGGGTCTCACCATGCTGACCGCCCAGGGCAGGCTGGGGGTGGGGGCCGGGGAGGGCAGAGCCGTCCCATTTGGGGAGCAGAGCGGATCCCTGGGGTGCCCGGCCTCCCCCTTGAGGTGATAAAAGGAGCTGAGGGCTGGGAATAAACAAAGGAAAATGGAGCACCCAGAGGGAGGGAGAGGAGGGAGGGAGAGGGAGGGAGGGAGGAAGGGAGGGGAGAGGAAGGGAGGGGGAGGGAGAGAGGGAGGGAGGGAGGGAGACAGAGATAGGGACAGAGAGACACCACAGGGGAAAGAGGAGACAGGGGCTGCGTTTGGGACCAGGGAGACGGGGATGAGAGGGAAGGTGCCGAGGGCCCAGCAGTGGGCAGGGCAGGGGCGGGCGAGGCAGGGGGAGGGCAGGCAGGCAGGGGAGCTGGACCCAAAAGACAGACGCAGGAGGGAGAGAGAGGAGGCCAGAGCCCGGGCGAGGCGAGGCGAGGCGAGGCGAGGCGGAAGGCCCGAAGGGATGGGGGGCAGATGTGAGACCAGGCACCCCTGGAGCTAGGAGAGCAGAGTGAGGCAGGGGGGCAAGATGGCCGAGGGGGATGGAGAGGAGGGGGCAGGAGGCGGCCCTGCCCATCCCAGGCTGCCAGGTCCCACTGACCGGGCTGTGGCTGGGTGGGCTCCTCTCTGACATTTACTGGTTTGGGGAGGAAGAGGCCTGGAGGTGGAGGAGACCGGGGGGGGGGGGGGAGGGGGGTTGGGGGGAACAAAAAGGAAGCAGCTGCTGGGCCAGAAGGAGGAGGGGGCCCAGAGACCCACAGATCCAGAGGGCCCAGGACGGACCAGCAGACAGAGAGAAGCCAGGGCAGGGCCACCAGGGCCAGAGAGACCAGGCCAGCAGGGGAGGGACGGCGGGCAATGGAGGGGCAGGGGCAGAGGGTGTGAAGGAGGAGGAGGCCAGGCAGGCAAGGAGGGGAGAAGGAGACGGGGACAGCAGGGTCCCCACTGCAGGGCGAGGGCAGGAGGGGACCAGGGCCATCGGGCCTTTGAAGGAGGCGCACAGCGTCCCCAGGGCGGGGGTCAGGCCAGGTCAGCGGCCGGGCGGCGGCACCAGCAGCATCAGCAGCCCGGCGGTGCTGAGGAGGAGCCCTAGCCAACAGGGCCTGGACACCCTCCTGAGGTAGGTGCCTCCGGCCAGACCTGCACGGAGGGCAGGGCAGGGTGTCGGGCCGGCCGGCACCGCCCACGGACGCTGGCACCCGGAGCCCGGGCTGAGGTGGCGGTGCCAGGCCGGCCCCGGGCAGGGCTCGGCCAGTCCTTCCCAGGATCAGGCCCAGCCAGCAGGAGCTGCCCTGGTGCTGGGAGCCAGCTCTGGGTGCCTGGCTGGCCGGCTCCGGGTGCCCTGCCGACTGGCTGTGGGCAGGTGTGTGCCCCCGCAGGGCTCCTCCTCTCCCACCTGCGCCCGGGGCCTCAGGAGGCACTGCTGTGGGCACCCGGCCCCGTGGGCACCTCTTGGCACAGCTCTGAGGCCTTGTCTGCAGCCCGCCAGCCTGGGCACCCCCAGGCACCCTCACTTTACAGACGATGGAACCAGGCCCCCCAGCCGTGCACCTTCAGCACCCAGCTCCGCTCGGGCAGCGCCCTGGCCTCGGGGAGTGCTCGGGCCTCGAACTCAGCACTTCCCCAGACTCCAATCCCGACTCCTGCCAGCTCAGGCCAGTGCCCTGTCCTCTTTGGGCCTCGGTTTCCTCCTCTGTAAGGTCATGGCGAGGGGCCACCTGCCTCGCTGTGCAGCGAGGAAGAGCGGAGGCCGAGGCCAGAGACTCAGCAAGGCTGGGCGGGAGGCAGGCTGGGAGCCCGACAGCCACCTCCTCTGAGCTGTCCACAATGCCCTTCCTCCTCCGGAACCCTTCCAGGCACTGAGGCCCAGCTGAGAGGCTGCCTCCTCCAGGTGGATGCCTGCAGGATTTCTCCAAGCTGGGAGGACTGTCCTCCTGTGCCAGGCCGTGAGCTGGCCCCCTGCCTTCTGTGCTGCGTGCAGCACGCTAGCGAGCTCCTGGACGGGCACCTCTGGACATCCCCAGGCCCCCGGAGCCCGGGCTCTGAGCGGAGGAGGAAGGGACAGGGCTGAGTGTGGGCTCAGCAGCCCGGCTCACCAGGCCCTTGCAGACACCAGGTGACGGCTCTCTCCGGCCCCAGCCCCATTGCGGCATGGTGCGGAGACGGTCACCCAGGCGGGCCGGGCCCGGGTCCGAGGGGCCCTGCAGCCCCCCTGTGCTTGTTCCTCTGGAATCCTGAGCCCTTCGCAGGGTCTGTCCGGTGGAACGTGTCACCCTGCAGCCTTCCCGGGAGCTCCGAGGCCCAGCACCCGGCTGCTGCCTGGGTGGGAAGCGGGGGGCACACTTCCGGCTCCCCTGAGGGCGTGGGCATGGGGCAGGAGGGCCTGCGGAGGCTGGCCAGTGGGTTGGGGCACAGGAAGTGTCCCTGGGAACTCCCTGGAAACTCCCCCTGTGGGATGTGGGGGGCAGGAGAGTCCCTTATAAAGCGAAACAGACCCACGCCTGCCCATGACTGCGAGCAGACCCGCCGAGCGGCCGGAGGTGCCCACGGGCAGGCGCGGAGCCCACGCCCTCCAGGTCCCCAGCCCGGTGGACCCCTCGGGGACGCGTGACACCGTGCCAGGCCGGGACCCTCCTCGCTCGCCCTCCCGGTGGGCAGCACTGCTGACAGGTGAGAGCCGGGACCTGGGGCTGCCCTCGCCTGGGACCGCTGTGAGAGTGGGGAGTGCCACCCGGCCCACGGCATCACCCCGTCTTTCCCTGCGGGCTGCCTGGGCTCCCAGAACCCATGCCTGAGTGCCGGGCAGGGAGGGGATGCCGGGGGACTCAGCCTCCCTCTGGGACAAGCCAGGCACGGCAGCCATTTCTCGTCTCGGTCTGGCTTGCTGCTGGTGCTGCGGCCGGTTCTATGGCCGCCCAGACTCCGGCCCTCGCCATCTGCCAGGCTGGACGCCTCCACTGCCCCCGCCCCAGGAGTGCCCACGCTGGGATCTCCCTCTGCCCTCTGCCCCCTGAGGGACTCAAGGCTCCCCTCAAGCTCCCCTGGCTCCCCGGGGGCCAGGTCGGTGCTGAGGACGCCGAGAGGGAGGCAGGGGACCCCAGCCGCTCATTTCCCGAAGTCGCCCTAGCTCTGGGCTTCCTGCCTCGTCTTGCAGTCCGGGGGGCCTGGCTGTGTTAGGTGGGGGCTGGGCTGGCACCGAGCAGGAGGCTGGCGTTCGGATGGCATCCGGGCTGCGGTCCCCGGGGAGGCTCTGCGGGTGGAGGGAGCCCTGGCAGGGGGTTCTCTGCCGCCCCCAGGGCCTCCGTTCCCCACCAGCACCCGCTCTCCTCCACCGGCCACCCCGCTGAGGCCCCCGGGGAGCCTGTGTGGCCAGCAGGGCAAGGATGGGCCGGCCACCCGCCGGGCTGGCCCGAAGGGGCTGGGGGAGCCAGGCCTCCAAACCACAGTGTCCAGAGAGGCCCACCCAAGGCCCGGGTCCGGGGGTGGGGTGGCCCCGCGTTGGCAGGGCCGGGCGTGGGGGGGAGGCACTGCCTCGGCACCGGGGTCCGTCAGCCCGCGTGGGTGCTGCCCGGGAGCGGGCGAGCCAGTGCAGGGGGCATGGGGACCGGGTGGCCCAGCCCCCTGGGCAGGGCGTCAGGGCAGGATCCCAGCGGCGGAGGCTCAGGCCCGGCTCCAGCTGCAGCCCGGGAACGGGAGCGGGGCAGAGCAGCGAGCAGCGGCCAGGGTGCTCCGGGCACCTGAAGCTGACCCAGCCCCGGCCAGAGCGCCCGGAGGGTGCCCAGGGCTCCTGGCCCCCAGGAATGGCTGGGGGGGGCCAGCCCCCCGGAGGCCCTTACCCCCATCAGAGCCGCTCCGCTGAGGTTGGTGCCGGGCTCGGCCCACACAGGTGTCGGGGAGGCGGGCACCCGGTGGCAGGTGGGAGACGGCTCAGGGGCGAGAGGCCCGCGGCAGGCCCGGGGGTTGGGGGGAAGAGGGTCGGGGCCCCGGCATTGAGTGGGGTCAGACTCCGGGGCACCCCAGAAGGTGAGAGGGTGGCTGGAGGGAGGGCTGCTGCCTATGGGTGCTGAGGTGAGGGGGGGCAGGGGCCTGTGCCTGCGGGCTCTGCCAGGACCTGTCCAGGTGGTGGGAGGGGGGAAGAGGACAGGACGGAGGCCACCATGATGGCAGAAAGAGGGGTCCAGGTGGGGACAGGGACAGACTGTACCGGCTGGAATGACAGGGCCAGGACCAACCAAGACTGGCCAAGACAGGGCAGGAGGAGGGAGAGGCCAAGAGAAAGCAACAAGGAGAAGGGATGGATGGGACAGGAGATAGGGTGTGAGGGGCCACGGGTGCCCCCGATGTTGGCCACCCCTCCAAGTTGTCCCGACACCGCCGAGGAAGACCAGAGGGGCAGGCGGGGAGGCGGTGACCCCCGGAGGTGGGCGGCACCCTCTAGTGCCTGCTCCTGGGCCTCGGGGCAGGGGGAAGCCCCCGGAGGTGGAGGCAGGTGGGTCGGAGAGAGGGCAGGGGGCACAGTGTGGAGTCTCTGAGCCCCAAGTGGGGACCGGCTGCCTCTGCCCACTGCCCCCCACCTGCTCCTGGGGCTGTGGGCTTGAACTTCCCAGGAGGTGCTGCCCTCTAACCCTCAGTTTCCTCGTGGGTAACGGGGTGCTGGTCTCCAGCTCCTGGCCGGGGCCTCGGGGCAGGGGGTCCAGGCGTGCCAGCCTGACCTCAGCAGTGGGACGAGGGCCGCTGCCCTTCACCCCACGTCCTGTCTGCTCCCAGGAAGTGGGGCCCCAGGAGTCGGGGTCTTGCCCTCCTCTCTGGCTGGGGCTGGCAGCTGGGTTCGGCAGGAGGACCCACAGATAGGAGGTGGCAGGATGGAGACCTAACAAGGGCCAACCTGGTGGCCAAGCCCCACCACCCATTAGCTGAGGCGCCGGGAGCTAGGATGGCTTCGGAGGGAGGTGGGGGCCGGCGGGTGCTCAGGGCTCGGGGAGCAGATGCCACCGTGTGGGGGCGTCCAGCAGGGGGTCTGGCTGCTTCGTGCACTTGGGGGTCGAGGGCTCCCGGGAGGGCAGAGGCGGGACAGACAGACGGGCGGTCCGGTGCCAGGCAGGCGGCCAGGTCTGGGCCACGTGTGTGGACCCTGGGGCAGGACCCACATGGGGAGCGTTTGGCAGTGACTGTGGGCAGAGCCGCGCGAGGGGCCGCAGGGGGTGCGGTGGGTCCGGGCACCGGGCAGGCTGAACGGGGAGAGGGATGGAGAAGCTCCAGCCGGTGCCAGCCACCAGTCGCGTGTCAGGGAACATGCCAAGGCCTGGCCTCGTGAGCGCCCGAGAGCCGTGCCAGGCAGTCCCAGCCGGCTCCGCAGCCTGGCTCTCCTGGAGGCTGGGCCGGACGTGGAGGTGCGGCTGGGGCTTCCCAGCCGCCGGGGGGCCGTGCGGTCAGCCCCCGGCCCGGTCCCGGGAGGTCGGCCGAGCCGCGCTGGGTGTGGGTGTCAGGGGGCAGGGTGACGTCTGGTGCGCAGGATGCTGGGCGCAGGGGCGGGCGGGGCACCGGGGAGGTCTCGGGCAGCGTGGCACTTGGCCCCAGCCCTGCAGTGCGTGGTCAGTGACACGGAGGGGACGGAGAGACCTGGGCGCAGCGGGGAGAGCTGGATGCCGGGCTGACCCCGCAAGGCCCTGCCAGATCCTACAGGCCAGAGGACCCGAGGTGGGGAGGCCCTGACCTCCGACCCCAAGCCGGGCCAGGTGGCTGGTCAGGGCGGATGGGGGCCGAGGTGTGGAAGAGGCTGACCACGGAGCACGTCCGGAGAGGTAGGACCCTGCCGGGGCGAGGAGACCGGTGCTGGGCTGCACCCTGGACTCTGCTCTGGGCAGAGGTGGGAGGTCCCTGGCCCGGCCTCCGAGGCCCCCTCTGAGGGGGAGCTTGGGGTGGAGGGCAGGGAGGGAGGCCCGAGGGTCCATGTCCAGTTTCCCCGGGGTCTTCACAGGTTCAGAGCTCCCCTCGGGGACACACGTTGTAAAGAAAGCCCTTCGAGTGGGCAAAGTGCCTCTGAGGACGGTGAGGGGGTCACAGGCCCCTAAGGCTGGACCTGCTCACGGCCACCTGGGGGGCGGCTGCTCCGGGGAGGGA